ACAAGGGGACTGGGAAGGGAGAAGGAGCTAGCATGTGCGGGCCAGGTTGGAGCAGACCGTCCCTACCATCCTCATGACAGCCACATCACGGAGACCACCGCGATCCCCACAGGACAGGGGAGGACGCTCAGAGAGATGAACAAACTTGAGCAAGACAAGTGATTTGGCAGCRAGTCAAGCCCAAATCACTGAAGAGCATGGGGTGGGGACACAAGGACCCCTATGAGCCCTTCTTCACTGACAAAAGCACCTCGCCCCACAGCTCCCAAGTCTGCTGCACACGTGGGATCTCCCAGAGATGAGCAGGAGTGTGGCCAACTCCATCAGGGTCTTGGTGGCAAAGAGAATCCACATTAAGCTGCTTTAATTGTTAGGAGGGTTGGAGAAAGAGGGTTGGAGGACCAGGAACCATGTTCAGAACCACCTTGAAGAACTCTGGGTTTAGATGTAGCTTCCACTGAGAGCTAGCACCTGTGCTCTGCTCATGACTCATCGTAGGCCTGGGAGATAAACCAAAGCCCAGTTCACATCCTCCATACCAAAGTGGACCTGCCTGCATGGATTTTTAGCTTTGTTAAGTCTAAGCTGGATCAGAGCAGTCACATATCTTGACATTCAATTTTWAAAAAATGTGGAATCCATTGAATTCAAGTTCTAGGAAAACAGACAGCCTACCAATGCTCTCTAACAATAAAGGAAAAAAWTCCAGGCTAAGGATGTGGCTTAGTGGTAGAGTTGTTGAGCTGCCTGGCATGTTGGGGCCCTGGGTCTGAACCCCAGTACCACAAAAACAAAATTTAAAAGGGAAAAAAAAAAACACCTACTTCTTAGTCTTTAAGTGCACTCAGATGCTCCTGCTCACAACTCAGGCACCTTGAGAGCTTCCGCCAAGACTGGCTGAGCCCTGGCTGTTTTTTTGGCCTCTCACTTCTTTTACCTGGGCTTGCTCCACAATGGTTCTCAAAATCTGCCATTGGCTCCTCCATCTGGAGACTCATTCGAGCATTCACCTCAGTTCTCCAAGTTTCAGGAAAGAAATGCTCTGTCCCCAGTCCAGGCCCTAGAACCTCTACAAGGGAAGAAGATTCACACTTCTGGAAGAGTCTTCACGTGAATTCAYCTCAGAGTTGCTAATGACCTCAGAGGCAGAATGCCGGAGAGAAGGAGGTAAATCAGATGTGGAGAACCTCACCACTATCTCTAAGTTCTGCAAATGCTTGGTCCAGTCTGAATTCTTGTCCAGGTCTGGTGGAATGGGCCCCAGAGTAGACATCTTCAGGAAGGAGTCAAGTTCAGGGAGCTTCATGGGGCTAGAAACAAAGGGTCCTGGGAAGCAGGATACAGATTCTCATCTAAAAGGACAATGGCTGAACGCAAACCCCAGACAGGTCAGGTGGTGTTTGGGGCAACTGGAGTGGGTGCCAGTGCTCGTCAGAGGACTTAGAACAGGAGGAGAAGCTTCACCCCGTACCCCACATTCTAGTGGCTGAAGGAGGGAATGAGCCTGCTGTGGGAGGGTGGCTTCCAGGGTCTTCTACAGCCGTGGGTCTGGGATAGACTGGAGCTATTGTACTGGAAAACCCTGGACACACAGATCATTATTATAATCTCTGTCTCAATGTCCCTACCCATTGGCCAGCCAGGTAACAAAGAAGTTGGTCTAACCTTGCTAGTTCACACTGGATTGGAGATTTCATCCCAGGTCAATATCCAGTGTAGACTTCCCCCTGGATCTTGTAAATTACCTCCCTTTTATTCTAAAGCCACAAGAACTCTAAATCCAGTTTACCTATAAGGATACTTGGTGGAGTGAAATAAGAAAGGAAAGTGGGGCAGGGACTGGTTGCCTGCTCCTTAGATCTATTTCCCCTTCTTTTCAGGAGCTTAGCCACACTGGCCAGCGTCCTTTGCAGTCAGGTGTGGCCTTGGGGTGATGTTCCAGCCACAGGAATGTGAGTGGGAGTGGGCAAGTCCTCCTAGGATGGACCCATGGAGCCTTCCATCTGTGAGGAAGGACACCACATGAAGTGTCGTCCCCCCAAACAGCTAGTTCAAAGAGTATATGGTGTCCCTTGGCTTTGTTTCAGTGACAAATGGGAACCTGAAGGTGTCAGAGATGGAGAGGAGGCTGTGAGGGACTGGAAGAGCAGCTGGAGAGAGCCTTCCGCAGGGAAGCTAAAAGAGGCAGGAGGGGCATAACTGCCTTCCCTGATTTGGGTCCTGTCCAAAGATGGAAAACTAACTCTGGAGGTCCCAAGAGCCTCCGGTGGCTGATGGCTCTTGCCCGGTCTCACATCGCAGGCTGCTCCATGAAAGTTAGTTGTGGGYACAGCAATGGGTTCCCCTGGGCTCCTGGAGCCTGGCCAGTGTCTCCCCTTCTTGAGGAATACACAGGAGAGAGAAGCCAGCAATCCTCACCCTCCACCTTAATGAAACTCTTCACTCACCCTCAGCTACATTGAAATAGCTGGAGATTTGCAAGGAGCTGTTCAGATTAGGTTTTGTTCCTGAAATAGAGGTTCATATGATACAAACTGTATAGTCTTCCCACTGAATACAATAGGATTCTAGCCAAAGTCTCAGACACAATTTACAGAAATGGTTGGAAATTGCATGGTGATCACTGTGTCAATGACTAACATTATCTGTGTGCTGCATAGAATAAGCCTTCCAGGGTGTCTGTAAATCAATCAAATAAGACAGTTCATGAAACAATCGTATGAATTCTCTAGAAAATTTATGTAAGAGCTTCCCTGGGGCTATGAAGCAGGCAGCTTCCCTCTTTGAGGACGGCCACCCAGACTCTAGTGTGTGGGGATATGAACTGCTGGCTCACCTATACGCAACTATGTCCAGTGACATTGATTGGAGATGTCGACTCCAATCAACTCCATCAAACAGCTCCAATGAAACATTCCACCCAAATCAAAGGGCTTTAGAACATTGGGCCCCCAGTGGTCAAATAGGCCCCTAAGCACCAAGACATTTTCTTCCTCTTCTCTGGGCCTCCACACAGGTAGTGACTGAGCCTGGGTTTCATTGTGGGTTAGAGCCTGGAATTTGTACTTCCGCAATCACAAGAAGCCAGAGTCAGAGGCTAAAGCCCATTTTTTAACACCACCCCCTCCAGCTTCCCTCAACATTATTTTCATGAAAGTGGAAGTTTTTTTTTAAAAAAAGGATCTTTGTAAAGAAAATAAATCCAAATGATATCAACTTGGAGAAAGGAGACATATGGCTGCCTCTTTCCCCAGATTCTGCTGGAACATCAGTGGGCTTCTGCTCGGTGCTCTGGTGTACATGGACTGCGCAGCCGAGGGTCCAGGAGCGCACACCTGGTGTTCTGGGGAGGGCGGCCTCAGCTTGCATGGAACAAGGCCMCACGGCGGCAGTCCCAGCAGAACTACTTCAACCCAGTCTCCACAGCTGCAAAAAGATCTTCTTTTCTAATCTTCTTAAAGAAGAATGTGACTCATCTATTCAGGTTCACCAAATGGACTTCCCCAGCCATTCAGAACCCATCAATACCAACCGTGATGTATGGTAAACACTTGAGAAGGCACAGCCCGGAGCTGTGGTCTGCTGTTAGATTTCTGTCCAAATGATGATATCATATGCACACGCAAGTGTGAGGGGGCACATAATTTGTTTAACAAAGCAGTTTCACAAAGAGCCCTTGATTCTTTTAAATCTACTTTCCTAATGCGCAAGGCAGTGAGCTCCTGCGCTGTGCTTGGCTAGAAGGCAGCTCACCTAACAACTGCTTAGCTAAGTAAAGGAAGCTGCCGCAGTCCACGAGGCCCTCAAGCCAGAGCAAGAGGAAGAAAGACATACCCTCTCCCAAGAGCTGGAATGCTGAGACGGAGCCAGTCATTTTCCCACAGTTCCCTGCTCTGCCTTGTCAAGGGTCTTTGGACCCTGGAGAAAGTGCCCTCCTTCCCTGTGGCCAGCGGGTCTGGGAGGACTGAGCTAGGAGGAAAAGGAAGCTTACAGCTGGACTCCTCATTTACACAGCAGGAAACAAGGCTTGRGAAGGAGGCCACCCCTCCCGACTCCCCAGCTGAACAGTGACAGAAAAGTTCTCCTCCAGTTGTGATGAGTCCCATCCAGGGCTGTCACCAGAGTTAGGGGGCTTGGCAATCACCACTAGGAAGTGCATCAGAAGCACTGTGAGCGGCGACTGTTTTCTGACGGGCACTGGCATTCCGGATCAGCTCTCCGCTGCTGGGCTGCCTGAGTGCCCAAGCTGGCCTTTTCTGTGCCGACTAGCTGGCCTTGAAACCAGGGGAAAGAAGGGAGTGGGATACCCAGTTAGGACAGAAGGGACATTAGACTCACCAACTGGGATTCTAATGATTTTAGGCCCCATGAGAATGCCACGTGCCTTTGACTCCCCAATTTTAAGCACAAATGACAACTACCTCTCAGAATGGCCTTTCCTTTGGGATTCCACTCCTTTCGACAAAGGCTTTCTTGCCTTTAGCCCTGTCCAGATACTAATTCTTGCCCCAGCCCACTTCCAGGAAGACAGAAGAACCAGGCAGGAGATGGGGTGGGGGTGGGAGAACGCAGTAGAGAAGATACCGGCCCAGAGGAGAAGCCGGCTGCCTGTCTAGGAGGAGCCCKCTCTGCCTGGTCAGGGTTGGTCCTGCGCTGGGAAGAGCCATTGGCTCTCTGGAGGTGTGCCTTGTGCTTTGGCCATGGCAGGCCATGGTCCTCAGCAGTGTGAGTCTTCCYGAAAAACCAGCAAGAGGGGGCCTCCTGGATTTGGAAGCCGTCTGAGCCTCATCTCAGTGACAGAGGCAGTGGGGCCCAAAGCTGTGGTGATGCTCCAGGCCAGCATGTGGGTCCTAGGCATTATGACCTCAGCTGTTCCGCACACAAAGAGGTGGTCATCCTGCCCTCACCTCGGCTTGTAAGTTGCACAGAACGGTGGCCTGGTCCCGGGGGGCTATTGTGGGGAGGTTGGGAAGTTGAGGAGCACCCTGGCTTCTTCCATCATGTCAGCCAAGAGGGCAGAATTCAAGAAAACAGGCTTGGTAAAGGAGGAACACCCCTGGACTCTGGGGGGCATCTTTGAGCTTCAGCTGAGTGGAGACAGGGCAGGACAGATACCAAGAAGGCTCTGACCACACCTCGGCTTCTCTGTCTCTGTCTCTGTTCTGAGAGCCGCACAAAGCGGGCCCTCAGCCTGGAATGGGTGCAGGATTCATGCTTGGCCTTGGCACGGGAAGGAGAGACTCGGGAACTCCTCCCTGCTCCCCAAGACTTCTCGCAGCCCCATGACCCCAGCTGGCCTGCGTCAGGCCTGCATCCCACCGGCAGGCCGAAGGCTTCAGATGACCTTATTAGAGAAATAGAATTAGGTTTTATTTACAGATGAGGAAACAGAGGCTCAGAGGGATTAAAAACTCACCCAAGTGGGCGCAGCTAGAGGAAAGGATAGCTGAGGGGGGGCCTGGTCTGCTGATCCCAAGACCAGACTCCTGGGAGGTTTCCTTAGAGCTGCCTCCACAAGCGTCCTTTGCCTGCCGAGTGGGGGGCAGCACTCACTGGCACCGGACAGGGTGGGGTTGAGCTGTGGATCCCGGGGTGTGTGAGCCTGGGCTCAGGCACAGCTGGGCAGGGAGGGTTGGTGAAGGTCCTTTGGCTCCTCGTTCTCTTCCCCCAATCCTGACTAAATTCCATCTCCTCTCTCTGCAGGGCAAGAACTACAAGACAGTTTACCTGGAATTGAAGCCAGAGACGATCAAAGGAAGAAGCTTTATTGAGGCCATGCCAGCAGCCAGGCCTGAGATCCGTGGGGAGGTGACTTGGAGTCAGGGGTCATTTGCTGTTTGTGGTGGCCAAGACCCATCCCAGGTGCCGTGGGGATGCCATGGGAGAGATAAGCTCTTTGCTCTGGTAGACCTTCACACTAGCCACCAATGAGACTCGTAAATAAACATGGGGAAATTCAGTAGTATTACCAGCTACTCAGAGAAGAAAGATAGAAAGGCGGGACTGGGTGCCTGCTTTAGATGGGGTGGTTGGGAAAGAACTTTCTTGGAACAAGGGCTGAAGGAGAAGATGCTGGTGAGGCAAAGACGGAGGAGCCTTCTAGGTAAAGGAAGAAGCATACACAGAGGCCCCCCAGGGAGGAGTAAGCTTATCTATCCAAGAGACAGAAATAGTGAGGCCCAAAGATGAGCTCAGAGGAGGAGGAGGAAGAGGAGGAGGAGGAGGAGGAGGAGGAGGAGGAGGAGGAGGAGGAGGGAGAGGGAAACTTCTGCACAGGTGACGCCACCAGCCTTCACCTCTGTCCTGACTCTAGGGAGGGACAGAAACTCAGGGATCTGTCTCTGCAGTCCTACCACATACCTAGTTTCCCACGCTTTGTTTCTGTTTCAATCAACAGATGTGTGATTACAAAGGAGTTAAACACCAAGGTCCATTCAACAAAGCAGGAATAACACATGAACTGAAGGTCAGTGCGTAAGCCCAGGTAACCAGGACAGGACCAGTGCCCTGGAGAGCTGGAAGTCAGTCACCTTCTGGTGGCTGCACCTGTAGGCACCTACCACCCTACGACTTGTTTCTCTCCGGTTTTTGTTTGTTTGTTTGGGTTGTTGTTGGTTTGGTCCTGGGGATTGAACCAGGGGCACTCTACCACTAAGCCACATCCCCAGCCCTTTTCTATTTCTATTTTTTATTTTGATACAGGGTCTCACTAAGTTGCTGAGGTAGGCCCCCAACTTTTGATCCTCCTGCCTCGACCTCCCAAATCACTGGGATTACAGGCGTGCACCATCATGCCTGGCTTCACTAATGTTTTTAATAACAAAAACAAAACCCACCTTTTTTTCTGGCCTAGGATCTAGTCCAGGACCACAGGCTGCCTGTCGAGCGGAATATCAGATCCAGGAAAAAGATTCGGGATCCCTGCAGGTGGAATAAGGTGCAAGACGCAGTTGGGATAGGATAGTAGACATGCTTTATTCAGAGGTGGTGGTAGCCTTTAGCCTGCCCCCAGCTCTTCAGCCCCAGCCAGTTCCATTTAGCCCCAGCTGCTCCATTAAGCCCCTGAGCCATTTTCATAAGCCTTTTTTTTTTTTAATATAAGCGGGCTAAAGAAGGCACACTACCAACAGGTTATTAAGTGGGCRCATGTTCATAAAAAAATGTTTATGACCTTGAGCACATACACTGAATCAGGGTGTTCATAACCTTGGCTACGYACTAAAAGCAACCCACTGGAAGCCTTAGCGAGGGCGCCTGGCCATAGCCATTTGGGCCTGCCCTACAGTCCACCCCTTTAGGACTTTTCACTGTACAATCTATGCATTTTTGTCTTCCACAATATCCCTTAGTCAGGAGGGTAGAACTCTGCATCCACAGGCCACAACAGTACAAGCTGCAACAACATATATTTTTTTTTTTTAGCCGTAGTTGGACACAATACCTTTACTTTATTTCTTTATTTTTATGTGGTGCTGAGGATCGAACCCAGGGCCTCGCACATGCTAGGCAAGCGCTCTACCGCTGAGCCAGATCCCCCACCCTGCAACAGCATATAAGCAGAAAATAAGCTCTGTCACCTAGGATTACTAAAAACTATTGCCAGTTTCATCCCATATTGAGGTGGCAATTCCCAGTCATGTCCAATTGTCCAGGAAGCAGTCTGGGTTCACCAGGGCTGTCCAGCAGCCAAACTCACAGGCACTTCTGTGCACATCCAGCATGCAGAGGTGTTCACTACGCTGGGGTAGCTGTGTGCCCAGTCCACGATGGTGTTGGCCAGAACTGTTAGGGGCACTAGTACAGGTAAATCACRCCCATCCAGGAGATTGTACGCCAGCATGGAGTCCCAGGAAAGCGCTGTGGCCATCTGTGGCAGCTTCTCTAAGCAGTGTACCACACCCACACAGCTTGGCCCTGAACTTCAGCAGGCTCTGTGTGCACCATCACTGGGGAACTCATAATTGGCTGAAGGGAAATAACAAAAGTTCCCTTTAAAATCTGTGTCCCATTTGCAGGACCTGGCCAAGTCACATGTAACCAGTGGGGGAGAGGGGAACATTCACTAGTCACCCATGGTGTTACAAGGAGGTCACACTCCAAATCTTTTCCCCAGGGGGCTGATAGGGCCACCCACAAAGGTGTGAGGCCTTTATTGTCTGGGGCCATGTCCAATCCACAGTGTGCCCCCTAGTCAATTCAGTCAGAGCAGGCAAAAGAATATTCCCTTGCTTCCCAAACCCAGATTTAAGAGCAACATCCTCTGTTGTCACCTGGACCTATATTGGGACTGCTGTGATGCAGCAAAGCCTCCACAGGAGTTGGTTCCCCTTGGTCAGGGATGCTCAGTCAGAGCTCACATAACTGCCCACAGACACTGTGTCCTCCCTTCTTAGAAGGYGGGATAACTGCAGTCCTGAGTCCTTGCTTAAGCAGGCCTCTCTCTCTCTCATGCCTGCAGCCGGTGGGTGGTGTGGGATGTTCAGCTCCCACTGAATCTGTCCCGGAGTTGCCCACTGCTGCACATCCCAACCTAGAAATGGGGGCCTTGATCACTCTCTATTACGATGGGCCAGCTGCGCAGGCCACGAACACGGTCAGGGCAGGAACCGTAGCACGCTGATTCTCTTGACCACCAGGCCAGGCCACCCACTGGATCAACTGCTGTTAAAACAAACAGGGCCCCCTCTGACCTCAGTRGAGGGCCAATGCTGTCAAGGGGACRTGTCCACRCATTACCTGGCTATGCTATCCGTGGTTCCCAGTGTCGTGGGTGTGGACACTCCTGGTGCAAACCATACATGCRTGGCAGGCCTCTATGGGGACATTCTGGGCTAAAGGCCAGACCCACACAGCGTTCACACCTGCATGCTRTAGGCGGGGATGCCACCAAGCCGCTAGGCTGGCGGGAGGGGCCTCTCGAAGCACTGCAGCCTAGCCAAAGGGTCTGCCTGTCACCCCCTGGGCTAGTCAGGGGAGCAGGGCCAGTAGCATGCCCTGCAGTCATTTGTTCTTGGTGGCCAAGCTCCTAGAGCTCTTGCCACACACACAACTGGCAGCGCGCACCACTGCGGGGATGCTTCACTTGCCTTCCATTCAGCTCAGCCCACCGGCTATTTTGTCCTCCACTGGTTTCAAACCAGACCCAGTCTRTCTCTGGGTCCTCAGTCACCACTGTCCATGCAGGCAGTTGTCCACAGCTGGGGTTATCAGTACACTGGACAGTACAGGTGCCTTACCTCCAAGGTCTGAGCTTGTTTCTGGTTCCCCTATAAGTAATAGGCCTTGGCACCTCCTGAAGCCTCTTGTCTCTGCTGCRTCTCTTTTGGTCTCTGCTGAGTCCTGGCACACTTGGGCACCGTCTAGCCCATCTGAATCACAAGGTTATGCAGGACACGTAGCACACAGGGGTCTTGCCCCTGTTGGCTCCCAGCACCCCTAAGTCTCATAGGCATGACAACAAAGTGGCCTTAAACTATTCTCCCAAGTCCTCCAACTCCGCTTGATAGGCAGAACGTGGCGGACTTGGTTACCCACGCTGGCCCTGCGGGTGCCCACCAGAACCAGCAGCTGCTGCCTTCACCTCCCGCATCACCCCTGGCTGGGCTTGCAGGTGCTAATCTCCCTACTCCTTGGACTCCATCAGCACAATGGGGGAGGCCAAAGAGTACTTCCAAGGTGCAGAGATCTTCCTCCAGTGACATGCTCGGCTTCCAAGGTCTTCTCTGTATCTAGCAACTCCCTTGTTGGCAGTGTCGCTCACAAAGTCACATCAGTCTCTGCTGAGGCTCAGACCCAGAAAACAGATTCAGGATCCCMGCAGGTGGAAGAAGTGCAAGACACAGTTCGGACAGTTGGTTTGCTGCATGCAGAGGCCATGTAGCCTTTAGCCAGCCCCCAGCTTTCCAGCTCCAGCCCCCAGCCAGTTCCCTTTAACCCCAAGCCATTTCCAYAGGCCTTTTTTAACATGCAGGCCAAAGAAGGCACAGTGCTGACAGGTTACATAAGTGGACACATGCTCACCAGCAAATGTTTATGACCTTGAAGACGTACACTGAATCAGGTGTCCATGACCTTGCTTATCTACCAAAACATGGCCCACCAGAAGCCTCAGCAAGGGACCTCACCACAGCCATTTTGAGCCTGCCCAACTCTGATTGCCACGTCTCTTCATTTTCCTTTAATMTAGAATGGTTCTTCAACCTTTGTCTTTCAGGACACTGACATTTTTGAGGATTACAGGTCATTTATTTCACTGAGTCATCCTAATTTGGGTTGGTCTGMTGTTCCTGGACACTGGCTATCAACTTCCAAAGAAGTGAAGATGTGCTCCTTTCAGCACAGTGCCAGCGGGAGGCACGTGATGCCTGTGGGTCCCCAGACCCCTTGTGGGGACAACACTTTTTTTCCTCCCTATAGAAGTATCTCCTTGTTCCTCTTTCAACAACGCTCCTTCCTCCTGCACCCAGTTTCTCATCCAGGCAGGACATTTCTTTACTCTCTCTCCCCCATTTTATTTTCTCAGAGTGAACTCAGGGAGGTGAGAGAAGAGCTCAAGGAAAAAATGGAAGAGATAAAACAGGTAACGGGGTAAATCTTTACATCATATGGAGGGAAAGCCTAGCTTCAAGAAAAATGTGATTCCTAACTTGGAATAGGGAAGGGAATCGGGAAGTGCAGGAGAAGGCAATCACCAACTCCACCCTAATCCCTCTTAGTGCTAAGTGTTGGGCAGCTTAGGATACTCATTTCTAATTTGTCTGATGCCTGGACCCAATTTTCTAGTGGCTGAGGACGCCCTAAGGTGTTACAGTTGGGAGGATGGAACCTCGGGGATAAAGCTGAGTGGAAGGGGCTGACTTGGAATTTGGGGGCAGCCAGAGACCAGCTGCACCTCCTTATTCACCTTACCTGAGCCAGCTGCATGGGAAGAACTCTTGTTTCTATAACACAACCACCAATAGCCTACTTAGGGAATAATCAAGAAAGGAAGRACTGAAATTGTGGCCTGAACTCCACACGTAAGACTGGCAGTGGCCAGACCTGAGTCACACCGTGGCTGACAGTGGGGACGACTTGATGGCATGTACACCCTAGACCCTTCATGGATTCCTTGGGAAGAACGTGGCTTTAATAGGACATTGTTAGTCCATTCCTAAGGTTCAGCTGCTGCCTTTTGCTTAAAAATACCCCAGAGACACAACTGACTTCCACAATATTCTCCGTGCTTGGTCAAATCATGCTTTTCTTCCTCATTAGATAAAAGATGTAATGGACAAAGATTTTGATAAACTTCATGAATTCGTGGAAATCATGAAGGTAAGATTTACTGAGTGCCTTCCATGGGCCAGTACCACACTGGAAACTATGGAAAAGTATGCCCGACCCTGCCCTCCAGGCACTTACACACTGGTAGGCTGCCCATACTCCATGGTAAGAAAGAATTACAAGCTAAATTGCTGGCTGTGAGTTAATATATCAATTTGCAGGTGTGAATAATGAGGTTGGGCTGGAGCAACGAGAGAAATCCTTATGGAGAGGGTGAACCTTGTTGAGTCTTGAAGACCATGTCGGAAACTTAATGCAAATCTAGTTGAAAGCCCTGATAAGATTAAAAAAAAAAAAAAAAAAAAACTTCTGGGAGGATAATCTAGATTCTAGAACATGGTTCATAAACCATGCTTTGGAATCACCCAGAACACTAACAAAGGGCAAGCCAAGGCCCGTGTGTTCAGGTGGAGCATAGGCCGTTGTGTTTTGGCCACGTTCCCAAGGCGAAAGCTTGAGAACCACTGATGTAGAAGTATAAATAGGCAAAAGCAAATAGCTGCAGTTGTTTCCAGAGCTCTAAGGGGGCACTAGCCTTACTAGATAATTAAAATTCATGATAAAACAACAGTTATCAAGTCAGGTGGTGTAGCCCAAGGATAACCTGACAAATGAAGAAACTGGGGTAGTAACACTGTCAGTGGCCTGCCTCTCTGCCAGGGAGGGACTAAGAAACCTTTCTGAGCATTTTTTAAAAAAAAATCCATGTGCTCAAGCTCCAGCTTACATGCACTGAATAAAATCTCTAGAATGAAACAGCGGGGTCTCAGACTCCATAAGTGATTCTGGTCCTTGCTCTTGGTTGAGAACCAGGTTCCTAACTCTTCAGCAGCAGGGTCAACCCTGGCTGCAGGTTAGAATCAGCTGGCAGTGATTTGGTCTTCTCCCCACTTTACACCCAGGTGGACCCCATAACAATTAACCTTTGGGATGAGGTATAGGCTCCAAGAGGCTTTTTAAATTTGCAGGTGATTCCAATRTTCATTCAAGGCTGAGAACTATGGTTCTATTAAATTTAAAATATGATAAAGGTGATTTTAAATTGTCAGTGAGAAAAGGATTGGGTGATAATATTTATAGGTGTTTTGACTGTATAAGAAGRAAAATTAATTAAGTACTGTAAACTGAAAGTCTATAAAGTGAGTTTAATAATAAAAGCCAATAAGAGGAAACTGTAAGTAATATTTACCTGGATGGCTTAATATAAATACAAYGGAAGAAATCACAAAGTCTTGACATATTTAAACATAAAAGTTTTCCTTAAAAGAATTATGACAGAAAAGTACCAGATTAAAAATTAAAAAGAAACAACAGTTTGGGGAAATAGTTTTCCACAAATATAAGTACAGACAAAAGGATTTTTATCTATAACATATAGAACTCACACAAATCAATAAGAGCCAAGTAGGAAAATGGGGAAGAGCACGGGCAGAAAACCCACAGAAGATGTGGATAATCAAGCAGCAGTAGGTATATTGAAAAGCTTTACCCCTTAGACAGTAAAGGCACTCGAGCAAAATAATTGACAATTACATTCAAATGAGCATTTTTTTAATGCATGACAAGGAGAGAATAAGAAAGAAATGTTCTTACACTGCAAATTTGTACAAACTGGAACGTTTATAACAAAGTAGGCATCAAAAAAATAAATAAATGAAAACTTTTCAATTTAATTCTGCTTCTCACATTTAACTTGTGAGAATAATCAGAAACGGTGGCATAAATCTATATAATAAATGTTCATTGCAGGATCATTTATAACAAAAAAAATTGGGGAACAGGCACAAATAAATTATGGTATATCCATGAAATAAAAATCAGGAACTATTAAGGACAATGTTTAGAAAGAATACTTACAATGAGAACAACAAAGCAAGATAAAAGTAAGGTGGTATACAGGTTGCTTCCAACTAGGGGAAAAAATTAAGTAAATGTACAAAAAAAAAAGGGTTAGAACTGGGTGCAGCAGACACACGTGTAATCCCAGGGACTCTGGAGGCTGAGGCAGGAGGATCTCAAGTTTGAGGGCAGCCTTGGCAATTTAGCAAGACCCTCTCTCAAAATTTTAAAAAGGGACTGGGAATGTAGCTCAGTGGTAGAGCACTCCTGGGTTCAACCCTCACTAYCCCCCTCCCCAAAAAAGGCTGGAAATAAACATACTCAAAGGACTAATAGCAGTTATTTGGGGGTGAGAAGATTGATTTTTTTAATATTACTTTGTGTCACCCACACTTTCTCAAAGATGGTGCATTATTTCTATATTAAAATGCAAACACCGTCGTTTTGTTGGTGAGTGGAGCTGGGGCTGGAAAGGCACAGAGGAGGCTATTTCAGGCAGGAGTCAGCTTGAGCACAGCAGGAAGCAGACAAGGACGTTCAGTTTTGTGGTCAGTGGGGAGCTCAGCCATGAAGAGGGATCATTTGGGGGAAATGTGAGAAACAGAACTCCATGGGCACAAAGGAGGTGGGCAGTGCCAGCTTTGCAAATCAGCAGAGGAGCTGGGCCTTGGTTCTGCACGTAGTGAGAGGCCTGCAGGGATCCCTGATCACAGAACATGCTGGGAGCAGCTGCTGGCAAGGTGGCCTGGGCAGGGTGRGAGCAGGTGCAACTGTCTGACAGCAAGGGCACAGGCGGGGAGCTGCCTCTGCCGCAAGGTGAAGAGAGGTGACTACCTTTGATTTTAGGAAGAGATTGAAAAGGGTAAATCTGAAAGATGCATTAAAAGAAATAACGGCCCACAGTGACAGACTCAAAATAAAGAATGAAGTCTCACGAGGCAAGTGTCCATGGTGACACTGAAGTTTGAATCTGGATAAGGAAGTGTTAACAATGACAAGGATAATTAAGAAGTAGAGCTAATTTCAAAGGGAAAAGGGGATCTGGTTGGAATATGATGACTTCAAAGCGACAAGTTCGTAAGTATATGGGAAGTTTTGACTTTGACATTTTGAACCTGTGGGGTATTCTTGTCTTCAAGGATAGTTTCACACTATAGATTCTAACATCTGATTATATACTACTATTTTAAAACGCTTTTCAAGAGGCGTTTTCTGAAATCATCTTCCCCCCAACAGTATAATTCCTTGACCAATTTTGCTACGTCAAATTAAACGGTTTCCAAATCTTTCTTTTCTTTTTACTAAAATTAGTTTYGTTGGAGTCAGTTATTTTCATGTATATTTTATGATGGTCAATTCAAATCTGTTTTTTTTTCCACAACAAATATCATCAATTATAGTTTCTGCTGCCTTATAATTTCTTTCATGTCCACTATTTCTGTGCAATTTTCCCAGGTCAAGTTTTGCAGATCTAAACTCTGCTAAGAAATTTGTTTTATTCTTTCATTTCTCGGTGACCAATAAGTGTGCCACACCACTTCAGCTACCATCAGTTTTATTTTGGGTTAGCCATTTCTGCCTGGATTGGGTGAAAAGATGGAGCCAACACAAAAACACAGGCAAGGGTCAAAACACTGGCGTCAAATGTCTTTGGTGTCACAAGATTTGTTCTCTTGCTTCCATCATCTTATAGGCATCGAAGTGTGGGTTTTACACCTTGGACAGGTAAATCAGTTACCTGGAGACTTTGGTCAGCCCCTAAGGCTCTGCCTGGGCCTGGGTCTCATCGTGGAGTGGTGGGGGCAGCGGGTGTGGGTGTGGTCGWGGACACCCCACCGAACCCTTGGCCCCACCTAGTGAGGATTCTTGAGGACGCCCAGCGGTTTGCAGAGAGGAGGGTGGAGGGACCTCGAGGGTCTTCAGAAGGAAGATTCTAGTCTTGAATTCTCTCTTGAAGGAAATGCAGAAGGATATGGACGAGAAGATGGAGGTTTTAATAAATATACAGAAGAACAACAAGCTGTAAGTGTCGCCCGCCCCCGCCTCTCCCCCTCCCCCTCGCTCTCCTCCCCCGGCCGTGCCAAGGCGCTGGGGGTGCCGAGGACCAGGACTCCTCCCGGGGTTGTCGTGGCTCCTGCCGCCGCATGGCTCGGAGTCAGGGCCTCCCAGGCCACCTGTGTGCTGGTAGAAAGTGTCTCCCCAACTCTCCGCCCCTCCCCGACCCCCACCCCAGTCCCCTGCGAAGAGGATGGATGGAGCACGAGGAACTGATGGGCAAGAGCGAAGCGGACCCTCGGCTCAGGCTCAAGAAGATGGACGCAGCTGGCGGAGCGGCCTTGTCTCTCCACAAGAACACGGTGGTGTCACCCAAACCCAAAAAGGAGCTGCCGGACTCCCTTCCTCAGTGTAGGAGCTGCTGCGTAAGTGGAGGCTGCCCGCCGCCCCGCCCCGTCTGGAGGCCGGCTGACCTGCCTGGCCTTCGAGGCCCGCCCGAGGCGCTTCCCGAGCCAGGACCCTGTAGGGCTTGACCCCCGACGTACCTGCTCCACCGCGTCATTCTGTCCTCTCCTATAGCCAGGCCCGATGAGGTGCCCAGCAGGCTGGCCATCTTGGAGCAGGGAAAAATGACCTTTCTTGTGCCGTTTCTGTCCTCCGCAGGAGAAATGTTTGTTGTGTGCCCTAAAGACCAACTACAATCAGGGGTAGGTAGACCCGAACAGGAGGCCTTCTCTCAGCGGGTTATCCCCGAGGGAGCTGCTCCAGCTGCCTGGCAGCGACCCCACCCCGCGGTCGTGCAGGGAGTAGGCCACTCAGTTGTAGAGGACGTGGCACCAGGAAGGAGGACGTGGGTGGCCACGCCTAAGGCTGCTGCCCCGAGGCTCCGTGGTGGGAGGGCGCCCCCCAGCGGCCCGCCTGACCCCGCCTCAGGGTCCCGCCTTTCTTTCCACCCAGCGGGAAACTTCCATGCCAGGCCTGGGAACCCTTTTCATCCTTGGCATCTGGAGCTGCTTTCTAGTTTATCTTTACCTCCGCTGTGATGAGATGGAGTACGTGCTTCCCACCTAGCCAGCAGCCCCGGACCATCCTCTCCTCATCCTTGAGCTGTGCAGCCAGGGCTTGTGGCCCTCTTAAACCAGCACCGGTGCCCAGGCCTCCACTAGGAGATTAAAAAAACTTCGTTTAAAGCCCAAACAGGCGTCACCGTCTTGAGTCTGAGTGTGCAGAGCGTCGCGTTTGCGTTTGGTTGTTCCAGACCAGCCCGTTTCACACTCCCAGCCCGTGAAGTCCGTCGTTAGCCCAGGGGTTTCTCCCTCCCTTCCCCCACTGCCTCCCTGCGTTCCACCTGGTTCTACAAAGGTCCCAGGTAAAGCACCGGGAAGTCCCTAAGGTATCATGAGCTGCTCTGTTGTGACCCAGGAGAGACCCCCAATGCCCTGTAACAGTGCCTACATCCCTTGGCTCAGGGCCTCCTCCCAGCCTTAAAGCCAGCAACAACGGGATGGTCTTTCTCATGCTGCCCCACGCTGACACCTTGACCTCCTGCTTTCACTTTAAAGGACCTTTGATGACACTGAATCCCTCTGGATAATCCAGCATGTTCTCCTTATTTTAAGGTTAGCTGATTCACAACCTAAAGACCTCTTTGCCGTATAACATAACATTTACAGGTTCAGGCAATTAGAACACAGATACCTTGGGGGGGATGATATTCTGCCTACCACAGTGGATCTTCCCAGATCCTGGTCTCTTGCCATAAGACCAGACCTGCAAACATTTGGGAATGTAGCACTGTTCTGTGGGGTGGTGGTTTTAAAATAGGCCCACAAACTCTGATATGCCTTTGATTCCTCTTTGCTTCAAGAGGAATCTAGTAATGCCGAGAACACTATGGAAGTGTGATATAGGTTACTTCTGAGATTAAGTCATAAGACAGAGTGGGTTCCATCTTGCTCTCTCCTGTACACTCATTCTGATTGAAACCAGCTGCCTGTGCTGTGAGGATACCCCAGCAGTCCTATGGAGAAGCTCACTCAGCAAGGAACTGCCTCCTGCCAAGAACCGTTTGAGTGTGCCATATTGGAAGTGGACCTTCCAGCCTTGAGAGCACTACCTCCCTGGCTCACGTCTTCACTGCAACCTCATGAGAGGACCCTGAGCCAGAACCACTCAGTTAAACTTCTCCCAGATTCCAGTAGAAACCACCAACTAGTAAAATCTTATTGTTTTAAGATGCTAAGTTTTGAGGTCATTTATTGCACAGTGACAGATAATACATATACAGATCTTCTGTTCATTTTTCCACTTAAAGGACTTTAAAAATCAAGACATAGAATAAAAAAATTAAAAAGTAAAAAAAAAAGTATATGGTTACACATACACATGTACAACTTGATGAGTTTTTTTTTATGTATGTATACATCACTGAAATCGTTCTAGATCATTTCTAGGACCTCTTCCCCATCTGTGCCCACTCCCAAACCAGGTTACCACAGTTCTGATCTTTAGCACTATGTATTATTTTGTCTGTCCTTGAATTTGACATAATTAGAATCATACAGGATGTATTCTTTGGCTCAAAATTATGTCTCTGAAATGTATTTTATTCATGTGTTTAATTGTGTGTATAACAATAGTTTACCATTTGGTATGTTTTATGAATATACCACAATTTATTTCTCTATTTTCCTATCAGTGGGCCAGAATATTTTGAAGAATAATCTAAGTGTAATCAGTTTTCCCAGTTGCCCTCTATGCATCTGCCCTGTCTTTTAAGCATTGTTCCTGGTTCCCAGGTTTCTTTGTGTTCCTTCACTGGGGAGCACATGAAAGGCTGCCTCTGCCTCACCATCCCTCTTGCTTGGTCCTGTGCACCTGGCTTCTGCCCTGCTCTTCTGAAGTTGCTCCCAGAAAGGAAGCTAATCACTCCTTTGATTCTATTGACCCTTCTCTGGTTCTCATTCTTCTGATGTGTGTTCCTGCCTTTGACCTTAGTGCTTCATTCCTTTTGTACATCTCTTGGTTATTATTCCTCAGCTGGCTCAGTTGGTTTGGGCTGCTCCACAGAATAAACAACAGGAATCTATTCCTCACATTTCTGCCTCCTGAAAAGGATAAGGTTCGGCACCCACAGAATCAGCACCTGATGAGGGCCACTTCCTGGTTCATAGATGGTGCTTTCTTGATGTGTCCTCATGTGATGGAAGGGACAAGGGGGGTCTCAGATCTCGTTCATAAGGGCACTGACCTCGAGATCTAATCACCTCCCAGAGGGCCCCTATCCTACCGTGGGGGCCGTTTTCAACACTGGCATTTTGGAGACACCAAATCACTGAGACCATAGCATCTGCCTTCATCTTCAACAGGGACAACCTCCATATTCACTTACTCTTTTCTCCTTCCTGGAGACTGAGGACAGACATCAAGTCTGACATGTTCATTGCCGCAGCCACAAGTCATCACAGGGTTAGCTCAATGAGTGAACCTGGGGCACTCGATCAGCGTCACCCTCCAGGGTCAGAAGATCAAATCCAAATTAACACAGGCCTTCCTGAAAGAAATCAAATTGGTTCTGGTCTASAGCCTAGACTAATTAATTAATGGGGGAAAGAAAAATGGGCTGGAACAAAAGAGAAAACCCATGTGACTCTAAAACCCAACCCTGGTCCTGTCCTTCATGTTCAGGAAAAATGCCTCCCCCGCCTTAATTGGGCATCCATAATCATAACTTGATTAATTATAAAGTGACTCTCCAATCCCTTTTCTCATTAGCATTCCTCTGCCAGCTTATTATTCCTACCAAATAAGCTGGATGAGATGAGAATGCAAATTTGTTTGAGTCAAACCAATGTCAACTTTCAAGAAGAATGAACTTGAACAGTGGTCTCAAGTCACAGTGTCTGACAGGTGACCCCAAGCCTTGGACTGAAGCCCTGAACTTGCCCGAGCTTAGAGTTGCCTGTCTCTGGGGCCCCTCGATCCTGTCAAACTCAACTCAGCCAAAAATAAACTCCCCCCTGGGCCCCGACATCTCTTCTCTGCCTGATGTCCTGACAGGAGGTCCTTGTCCCTGCTCAGTTTCCTGACAGAGCGCACAGTGGCTCCCTAGCCTAAGGCTGGCCCTCAATCCCCCCAGGGCTTTCTGCAGCCCACCTGTCTAGCCTGGACAAGACACTTGAAGCATTCCCATGCTCAGAGCCCCTGCCCCAAGCAGCCAGGCCTCTCCCAGAGCTCTTAGGGTTATTTTGAGGATTCCTGAGGCTGTGGGTAAAGTACCTGTTACAGGCTGGCAATGAAATTTTCTTTTCTCACCTCCTCCGTGATATCTCTATGATGACTCTTGGGCCTTTTCTGGAAGAGCTAAAGATGAGAGAAGAGGACGTGCCTTCCCCAAGGACAGAGACCTATGGAATTCACTGATCACCTTCTCCTTCTGCCTCTCAGTGGATGTGTTGATCTGTGGATGTGGAAAACATTCCCTCTCTCTGACATGGATTCCACTTAATCATTCAAGCTTGATATTTTCCTTCTCCTTCCCACAGCAAATGAGCTACCAAGTCCCATGGACTCTCTGTGACATTTCAAATGTCTATTCCCAAGTCCTCCCACCTTAATCCAAGCTCTAGGCATTTGGATCCTGAATCACGGCCAAGGCTTCCAACCGGTTCCTCTCAACTCCACTAGTTCCTGCTCACAGCCTGGAATCCATGGGCACACCGCTTCCAGATATTTCCTCCCTACCCACTTCGTTCCTCTCTAACTCCCCCCTTGTCCATTGCTTATGGGGTCACACTCATTCTCCTTAACCTGCCATTCGAGACCTCGCATTTCTGACCTGCCAGTTCTGAACTCCTCCGCCGCGTTCCCACCTGTGAACCCCGCTCCAGGGGCCCAAACGTGTCCCTTGCCTTCCCACCTCCTTGCCTTTGCTCACCTCCTTCTCTCGTGCCCCCATCAAGTCCCAAGAGCCCTGCTGGGTGGCCCTCTGTCTCCACATAGCTCCTTGGAGACTGGGACTAGGTCACTTGGCCGTTTAGACGTTTCCCACCTTCTTATCCCAGCCCATATAGTCCCTCCTGTCCAGGCAGATGGGCAGTTTCCAAGGCAGGACTGAGTCGTCCTCCTCTTTCCTGGCATGGAGGTCAGAACTCTGGACTTGGCAGGTGCTCAGAAGTGCCGTCTGTCCCGCTTTTGCCTGGCCCGTGGGATTCATGTGTTGGTTCTCTTGACTCCTTCCTGCACTCCCAGGACCTTGGCACCATGGATATGCCTGAAAGGTGGTCAGCAGGGGGCTTCTCCTGCCCAGATCCTACTGGGCAGGCCTTGGGAGAGGCCCCGAGAAAACTCCCCAACTCTCCAGGTCTCCGCCCTGTTCCCATCTGGAAAGACCCACATGTGGCCTTGTCCTGTGTCAGGCGGCTGATGGGGTGAGGCTGCTCCCCCCTAAGCACATGCGAGTTTTAAGGACTAGAAAAGGTCATCAGGGAAGCAGCTGCCGTGAGCAGCTGAGGCGTCGCTTCTGTTGCAAAGG